GTCCTATACAAACCAGTTAATGACTTGAAAATTGTAAAAGCAGAGAAAACTGATGCACTCATTGAAAATAATCAAATCTGGGAGGTTGAGAAGATAGTTGATCATAAAACACTAAAGAATGGTAAGCACAAATATTTAGTCAAAGGGGTTGGATATGACGACAGCTCCAACACTTGGGAGCCTGAAAATAACCTCCGTTTGATTAATAAGAACAGAATGTCAACACTAGAGAAACAATATTGGTCTAAATATAGATGAACAGGATGTGTAAATACATCACAAAAAAGGCACCAGAGAAGCAAAAAAGGGAGATTACTGTACTCAGCATCATAATATAATCCAAATCCAAATGTATAAGAAGGAACTATCTATGATTCACAGGAAAAACCGAATACTCGCTGAGCAAATCAAGGAACTGCAAATATATAAAAGTCAGATTAACACGATAAACGAATTCGACCTCATCAAACATCAATTGATTCAAATAAACCCGTATATGAAATTCAAGTATCTAATTGCTGATAGACGGTACCAATTTCGCTTAGAGGATGTCTTCAATGTTCCGTTTGATGAAATCGAAAAAAATATAGAAAACTTCTATATGAAAGAAATGACTTATGTCATCCCTACACAAGTAGATATTGGTCTGAAGCCCAGACGAATTCATTCGGGACTGGTGATTTATGATAATCTGAAAGATCCTCCAGTCTTTCGCATTGAGCGTAGTTTAGCCATCTTAGCTTTCATCTCAGGCGATCCTTTTTTACAGACACCAACCCCAGTAAGATTCTTTACTTCACCCCGAACAGCATTCACTAATCCTGGCTGTCCCGTATAGGCTCCAAGAGCTTGAGCGCCTTGATCAACAACACCAGATACCAGTGGTTTAACTACAGGCCAAACATTTTCTTGTAGCCATGGCCACGCTTTATCTTTGATCCAACTCCATAACGAACCTCCACTCATTCCAGACCCCGTAAGAGCGTCTCCGTCCATATTTAGCGATGCAGCAATTTCACCTGGTGAAAACACAATTGAAACTCCTTTGCCAGCTTGAGCAGCCTTTTTCCATTTTTTCGCATTTTCCGGGTGAAGTGCTAATTTCTTTGAAGAGCTTTTAACTTGAGAAGCAGTAAACGATACTTTCAATGTCTTTAGAAACTTCTTTTTCTGAGCATCCGTGAGCTCATCACAACTGACCGAAACGTAAGAGTTCATATTTGCGTAAACTATCTATATTTCTTGAAATAAATAGTCTCAAAAAAATTAAATAAATGTTGACTTTTACTCGAAGCCATCAGCTCTATAGTGCAAATGTCTTCGCTTTTTTGTTTTTTGTTGAAGCCCTTGCTGTATCTATTCCTGCTCCCTTTGAGCGTACATCCTGGAGCTTTTCTTTTAGCAGTAAACTATTGAGAGATTTCAATAATCTTTCTTGATTACTATGAGCAGCTGATTTGATTAAGTTACCTCTAAGGTTTGGATATTGTACTTTTATAATTTTGGAATTCATTTTATATTAAAGCAAAGCTTTTGTTTCCGTCCTGGTATATTAAACACAATCAAAAAGCTCGTCGAATCAATTTTAATTCTCTTTCTAAACGCCGATTATCATTACCTAAACCACGAGCACCTTGAAGCTTATCAAATTCATGTTTTAAAATACCTCGACGTCCCTTTTGACTACCCATACCTAAACCACTCATGGAGTCGTCAAATGAGAGAGCTCTTTGGAAACGTTTTGGATTAACGGTTTTGACTATAATATCCTCCGATACAATGCGATCTCCAAGCCGATTAGCATTTTTATCAACACGGCTCTTGATAGACGGACTGATTTGATTCTGTTTCTTACTCATGATTGCTGCATATTCACCAAGATAATATGTTTTCTTACCTATCTTTGGT